CTCCCCAGGACCTGCTGAGCATCGTGGCCAGCGTCCTGCATTTGGGTAACATCCACTTTGCTGCTGACGAGGAGAGCAACGCCCAGGTCACCACCGAGAACCAACTGAAGTATCTGACCAGGGTGAGCGGGGGCGGGCAGAGGGTAAGGGAAGGCCAGCGGGGGTGGGGGCTGGGGGTGCGCCCTCACCACATCCTTGCCTGCCCTTGGCAGCTCCTCAGCGTGGAAGGCTCGACGCTGCGAGAAGCCCTGACACACAGGAAGATCATCGCCAAGGGGGAGGAGGTGAGGCCGGGCCCTTGCCCTCGGGTGTGGAGGGGCATGTGTTCCAAAGCAGCCCCTACTCCCATCACTCCCCTTTGCCTGGTCCCCTCAGCAGTGCTGGAGGGATGGAAGGAAGGCTGCTCAGGGAAGCAGAGAGCCAGGCACAGTGGCTCATGCTTGTAACCCCAGCACTTGGGGAGGCTGAGGTAGGCGGGTCACCTGAGGTCAGGAGTTCGAGACCATCCTGGCCAACATGGTGAAACCCCATCTCTACTAAAATGCAAAAATTAGCCAGGTGTGGTGGTGGGCGCCTGTCATCCCAGCTATTCAGACCTGTCCCTCTACCACCTTCCCACTGGGGCGGCCACCTGTCCTCCCTGAGGTCCCACTACCAGCACCCCTCCCCACACCGCAGGCTCGCTGGAGCTGGGCGTGCAGAGTGGTGATGGCTTCCTGGTCTGCCTGAGCCTGGGGGCAGGTGGGATGCAAGAGCTGTGTGGCATTCATCTCCTTGCCTCACACTGCGCCCACAGCTCCTGAGCCCGCTGAACCTGGAGCAGGCCGCCTATGCGCGAGACGCTCTCGCCAAGGCTGTGTACAGCCGCACTTTTACCTGGCTCGTGGGGAAGATCAACAGGTCGCTGGCCTCCAAGGTGAGGGCTCACTCCACACTGCTCCCGAGGCAGGAGGGAGGGCCATCAGTGGGGCGGGGGGCTGCAGGGTGGGGCTGGCACACGCAGGGGCCCACGCCTTCGGTTGAATGACTGCCCTAGGATGCGGAGAGCCCCAGCTGGCGGAGTACCACGGTTCTCGGGCTCCTGGATATTTATGGCTTCGAAGTGTTTCAGCATAACAGGTCAGTGCCACGTTTGCCCCGTCTCCTCCCAGGTTCCTGTCCTGCTTCCTCTCTTCTGTCCCCCAGACTCTCATTCCTGCCCCGTGACTCCCCAGCCAGCCAGGGACTGGCTCTGTGTCTCACCTGCTATGCTCAGGGGCCTCGTCCAGCGTTTCCCCTCTGCTGGTCCTATGTCCCCACTGAGCCACTGTGGACGCTTCTCCTTCCTTACAGCTTTGAGCAGTTCTGCATCAATTACTGCAACGAGAAGCTGCAGCAGCTCTTCATCGAGCTCACGCTCAAGTCGGAGCAGGAGGAGTACGAGGCAGAGGGCATCGCGGTGTGTGCAAGCCTGAGGGCACTCTCTGGGCCATGGGGAGCCTGGGCATCGGGGCCCCTGGGAGAGGGTGCCAGGACCCCACGGTGATGCCTTCCTTCCCTTCTGCCCCTCAGTGGGAGCCCGTCCAGTATTTCAACAACAAGATCATCTGTGATCTGGTGGAGGAGAAGTTTAAGGGCATCATCTCGATTTTGGTGAGTCCTCTGTGCCTCCAAGGCCTCGTGCTGGAGGCTGAGTGGGAGGATGTCCCCATTCTCCGTTCTCTCCAGGCTGGTCCACAGAGGGCCAGAGTCTGGGGCTGAGTAGCGACAGGGCAGGGCTGTGAATGGCGGATGGAGGGAGGCGCCGCCCCGGTCGGAAGCTCTATGGAGGCTCCCAGTGATCTGCCCCCTCCCCTGTGTCTGTGCCTCCCAGCACGGTGACCCCAATCCTCTATGTTCTCTGGCCCCTCCCCCATATGTCCCTCCCCCTGTGTCACACCCCCCAGGATGAGGAGTGTCTGCGCCCCGGGGAGGCCACGGACCTGACCTTCCTAGAGAAACTGGAGGACACGGTCAAGCACCATCCACACTTCCTGACGTGAGTGGGGCCGCGGGGCTGCTGGGGGCGAGGACTCACTTGTGGCAGAGCCTGCAGAGTGCGGGAGTCCCTCCCTGATCCCAAAACACCAGCCACAAGGAGGTGACCAAGTGCTGAGTTAAGGACCCCTCATGTGTGTCCAGAAACTAAGAAGCTTAGCCAGGCACGCTGACACATGCCTGGAGTCCCGTCTGTGCAGAAGGCTGGGGCGAGAGCATCACTAGCCCTGCAGTTTTGAGGCTGCAGTGAGCTAGGATCAACCCACTGCACTCCAGCCTGGGCTACAGAGCAAGAGCCTATCTCAAAAAGTAAAAAAAACAGCTGGGCGTGGTAACTCACACCTATAATCCCAGCACTTTGGGGAGGCCAAGGTGGGTGGATCATTTGAGGTCAAGAGTTCAAGATCAGCCTGGCCAACATGGTGAAACCCCGTCTCTACTAAAAATACAAAAGTTAGCCGGGCGTGGTGGCAGGCACCTGTAATCCCAGCTACTTGGGAGGCTGAGGCAGGAGAATCGCTTGAACCCGGGAGGTAGAGGGTGCAGAGAGCTGAGATCTCACCATTGCACTCCAGCCTGGGTGACAAGAGCGAGACTTCGACCCAAAAAAAAAAAAGAAAGATGCTAGTAGCCTGGCTTCCTCCCTGTTCTTTTTTGAGAATGAAACTTGCTAGGCCAGGCTCAGTGGCTCATGCCTGTAATTCCAGCACTTTAGGAGGCCAAGGCAGGCAAATCATGAGGTCAGGAGATCGAGACCATCCTGGCTAACACGGTGAAACCCCGTCTCTACTAAAAAAAATACGAAAAACTAGCCGGGCGTGGTGGCGGGCACTTGTAGTCCCAGCTACTTGGGAGACTGAGGCAGGAGAATGGCCTGAGCCCGGGAGGCGGAGCTTGCAGTGAGCCGAGATCGTGCTACCGCACTCCAGCCTCAGCCTGGGCCAAAGTGCGTGACTCTGTCTCAAAAAATAAATAAATAAAAGAACCTTGCTGAGATTTTTCTTATTTGGAAACTGCTTTTTATTGAAGGAATCCCCTGAGGTGGGGCGAGGTGGGAACAGGAGTAAGTGCCTCTGTCCAGCGCGGTCTCACGCATGCCGTGCACGTCGTAGCTTCTCCTGCAGCCGCTCCTGGAGGGGTTCTTGGTGTTTTCTCACTGAGACTCCAAGAGGCAGAGGCACTTCCCCGAAGTTACCTCTCGTCTAGGTTGCCGAGCTGGGGTCAGTCCCAGGGCTGCTGAATGCCAAATCCATGAGTATTTTTTGCATAATAAGATACTGAGGCCGGGCGTGGTGGCTCATGCCTGTAATCCCAGCACTTTGGGAGGCCGAGACGGGCAGATCACAAAGTCAGGAGATCGAGACCATCCTGGCTAACACAGTGAAACCCCGTCTCTACTAAAAAAAAACAAAAAACTAGCCGGGCAAGGTGGCGGCGCCTGTAGTCCCAGCTACTCGGGAGGCTGAGGCAGGAGAATGGCGTGAACGCGAGAGGCGGAGCTTGCAGTGAGCTGAGATCCAGCCACTGCTCTCCAGCCCGGGCGACAGAGTGAGACTCCGTCTCAACAACAACAACAAAAAAAAAGATACTGAAAATTTGTCTCTGGATGGGCACAGTGGCTCACGCCTGTCATCCCAACACTGTGGGAGGCCGAGGTGGGCGGATCACCTGAGGCCAGGAGTTCAAGACCAGCCTGGCCAACATGGCGAAATCCCATCTTTATTAAAACTACAAAAATTAGCCAGGCCTGGTAGTGGGCACCTGTAATTCCAGCTACTCGGGAGCCAGGGAAATCGCTTGAACCCGGGAGGTGGAGGTTGCAGTCAGCTGAGATCACGCCACTGCACTCCAGCCTGGATGACAGAGCCAGACTCCATCTCAAAAAAAAAAAACTTGTTTCTAGGAGTCTCTCTGAATCTATTCTGGTTTAGGGGCTGCCTGATTCGTTAAATAATAAATACTAAAAACTTGTTTCTGATTATAAAAATAATATTGCTCATTAGCGCAAAGTTGGACTGTACGCAAAAGCCACCTGTGATTCTGTTGCCCAAAGGCCACGGCTGATAACCGTGTGAGACATTTCCCTCCTGCCTTTTTCTATGCATTTTTTTCATAGACAAGAACTTCTTGTGTATAAGGCTCAGGGTAATGCTATATCCTGCACATTTTCCTGTATCATCAAACAGAAAATTTTCCTCAAAACTCTTCCTGGAGTGGCTCTGACCCACAGATACTCCCCTCTCTCAGCCAGCTCTTCGGGGCCCCTGGCCAGCCACCGGGTTTCTGCTGGAATCACAAGGCTGCCACAAACATCTCGTGCCTTCCATCTTTGTATCTCTGGTTAGCTGCTTGAAATAGTTCTTAAAAGTAGCAAGTGGGCCAAAGGGTATAAACATGCCTAAGACTTTAGTGCTCTCTTGGGGCAGCAGATTCCGTTCTGAGAAGTAGTGGGCAGCTCACCACCGCCTTCTGAGCAGAGCCCGCAGCAGCCGGAAGCAACGCGAGTTGCCCTCCCTGCAGTGTGCCCTGGCCATCAGATGGCGAAGTTCCCAGTCCTGGCACTGTGTGGCCCTGACCAGGGCCATCTACCTCTCTGAGCCTCTGTGGTCTGCTCTGAGCAGGGAGGCCACTGGCTCTGCCTGGCCTGCCTCAGTGACCCAGCCCTGGGGTGTGCCTGCTCTTTTTTTTTTGGAGACGGAATCTTGGTCTGTCACCCAGGCTGGAGTATAGTGGCTCAGTCTTGGCTCACTGCAACCTCCACCTCCCAGGTTCAAGCGATTCTCCTTCCTCAGCCTCCTAAGTAGCTGGGACTACAGGTGCCCACCACCATGCCTGGCTAATTTTTGTGTTTTTAGTAGAGACAGGGTTTCACCATATTGGCCAGGCTGGTCTCGAACTACTGACCTTGTGATCCGCCCGCCTCGGCCTCCCAAACTGCTGGGGTTACAGCCGTGAGCCACCGTGCCCGGCCTGGGGTGCGCCTGCTCTTTACGTGGCTGGTTCCTGTTCCTGAAGCCCCTTCAGCAGGCAGAGGGTTTGGTTCAGGCCGGCCATCTGCAGCTTCCACCCCATCACCCCCAGGCACAAGCTGGCTGACCAGCGGACCCGGAAATCTCTGGGCCGAGGGGAATTCCGCCTTCTGCACTACGCTGGGGAGGTGACTTACAGCGTGACAGGTGAGGGTCCTGGGGCTGTGTCCCCACCGGGGCCTGCAGGGAGGCTGTCTCTCACCTCACACCTGCTCTCCCCTCCCAGGGTTTCTGGACAAAAACAATGACCTTCTCTTCCGGAACCTTAAGGAGGTGAGGAGGACCCGGGAGGCTGGGGTGGGGGTGGTGGTAGCCCACAGCTCTGCACTTGTGTCCAGGAGCCTGTCCTGCCTGTCCCTGTGCCCCTCCCTGACCCCGGCTCTGCCCACACAGACCATGTGTAGCTCGAAGAATCCCATTATGAGCCAGTGCTTCGACCGGAGCGAGCTCAGTGACAAGAAGCGGCCAGAGACGGTGAGGAGGTGGCGGGACCGGGCACAGGGGTGTGTGCACCCCAACATGCATGAGGGCCTGCATGAGCCTGGGAGCTGGCAGCGGGCGTGTGAACGCGTGTTGGAGCCTGTGTGCACCTATGCAGGTGTCTGTAAGGGGCTGCCTTAGGTGCCTCTTTGCCTACTTTTTTTTTTTTTTGAGACAGAGCCTTGCTGGAGTGCAGTGGCGCAATCTTGGCTCACTACAACCTCCACCTACCGGGTTCAAGCGATTCTCCTGCCTCATCCTCCTAAGTAGCTGGCATTACAGGTGCCTGCCACCACACCCGGCTAATTTTTTGTATTTTTAGTAGAGATGGGGTTTCACCATGTTGGCCAGGCTGGTCTCAAACTCCTGACCTCAGGTGATCCACCTGCCTTAGCCTCCCAAAGTGTTAGGATTACCGGTGTAAGCCACCGCGCCCATCCCTGTTTACCTACTTGTGTGTGTGTGTGTGCTGTGTCTAGAGTGGAACCATGTGTCTTAAGTGTGGGCTGTGTCTGTAGGGGAATCCGTGTGTACATCTGTCTCTGTGGGTGTCCCTGTGTTGACAGCTGCCTCTGTGGCTGCTGTCATGTGTCCACCCACTCAGCAGACATTTATAGCAGACGCCGCCAGGCACTGAGGTACCAGAATGAGTGGGTGTGCCTGCAGCAACGTGCACAGGGTGCTTTGCAAACTTAGAAGAGGGAACAGCAAATGGCCTGACAGGGCAGAAGGGGTGAGGGGTTGGGGAGGCTCCCTGGAGGAGGAGGCATTGGAGATGACTTGGGAATGTCAGATGAACCTATAGTCAGGGTCCAATCCAGACACAGAGTCTAAAAAGGCCAGGAGGTGAGCAGGAAAGCCATGGCATCAAGGAGAAGGACCGGGAAAGGCAGGCATGGCCAGGGTGCCAGGTGCAGGGAGAGCTTCAGCGAGCTGGGGGCAGAGGTACGGCTGTTGGGCTTGGCAAGAAGAGGGAGCCCCAGAGGAGTGAGGTCAGTGGGTCCATAGGGAGGTGGAAGCCAGACTGCCTAGCAGGGAGGGCACGCCGGCGTTGTGCTGCCCAGGGTCTGGCTCCCTGGGCCCCTGCCCGCTGCTGCTGTCTGCCCCACCCTCTCCCTAAGCGCCCACATCCTCCTGGCCCTAGCGTCTCCCTGCTGTGGATGCCTGCACACCCTCCCGCCTAGACCTCTCCCACAAGCCACAGACTCAGTATCTCATCCTCTTCCCCTAGATGGCCCCGGGCACCCTAGACCCCACTGGTCTGTAACAAACGGGCCCTTGGTCTCCCCCTCCAGGCTTTCTCCTTCTCTCCCTAACTCAGGACAGGGATCACTAGCCCAGTCTCCCAGGCCAGAAACTTGGGTGTCATCCCTGGTTCTTTTTTTGTTTTGAGACGGAGTCTCGCTCTGTCGCCCAGGCTGGAGTGCAGTGGTCGCAATCTGGGCTCACTGCAAGCTCGGCTTCCCAGGCTCAAGTGGGAGGTTCACTTAATTATCTTGCCTCAGCCTCCCGAGTAGCTGGGATTACAGGCACCTGCCATCATGCCCAGCTAACTTTTGTAGAGCGGGGGTTTCACCGTGTTGGCCAGGCGATCTTGAACTCACGACCTCAGGTGATCCACCCGCCTCGGCCTCCCAAAGTGCTGGGATTACAGGCGTGAGCCACCGCGCCCGGCCCCTTAGTTCTTTTTTCTCCTTGTCCCCCTCCTCCAGCCAGTGGATCTTGCCGGAGTACTTAGCAGCTTCCCCTCAGTCTTTCCCCGTAGCCACTGCTGCAGGCGTGAGCCACTGCACCCGCCCCTCCTTACCCTTTAAAGCTCAGCCGAGCGTCATTTCTAGAAGACGCCTCCTGGTGCTCCCTACCCCTCAGACTGGATGAGCTGTCCCTTTGTGGGGCTCTCAGAACCCCCAGGCACACACCTGCTACTCTCGGACCACACGGAATTGTGAGTCTTTGCTAAGGAGTGTGTTCCTCCGCCAGACCCGAGATCCTTCCAGATCCTGCAGAGCAGCGTACCCAGATAATAGCTGAATGTGTAGCATGGGACACGCTGTTCAGGAACGCAGCCCTGAAGTTCTAGAAAGAAAAAGAAGGGTCACTAATGGGAGGTGTAGCATTGAGGTTGCTGGGAGACCTGAGCAGGAGTTTCAGACTGGAGTGAGGCTCGGAGACTGCGGTCCCTCGCCCAGCCGGAGGGTAAGGGTGGAGTCTGGCCCCCTCCTCTGCGGTGAGGAACGTGCGGTGGGAGGAATAAGGGCCAGGCCGAATCAGGGGCTGTTGCTTGCGTCACTAGCCGGGGGAGTGGGGTACTCGCTGCTGGGGTCAGCAGCTTTAGCCTAGCTCCGGCCAACCTTCCATGCCTCTCGGCTCGCCAGGTCGCCACCCAGTTCAAGATGAGCCTCCTGCAGCTGATGGAGATCCTGCAGTCCAAGGAGCCCGCCTACGTCCGCTGCATCAAGCCTAATGATGCCAAACAGCCCGGTAGGCCCCTCCCACGGGGGACTTAGGGGCCGGGCCTCCCCTGCAAGTGACAGGCTGTCAGCGCCAGCCCGCTGACCTTGGCTCTCCCCCTCCCCCAGGCCGCTTTGATGAGGTGCTGATCCGGCACCAGGTGAAGTACCTGGGGCTGATGGAGAACCTGCGCGTGCGCAGAGCCGGCTTTGCCTATCGCCGCAAATACGAAGCTTTCCTGCAAAGGTAGGGGCAGGTCCGGCTTGGTGCCGGGGAAGGGGGAGCGGGAGGGTAGGAGCCCCTAGGTCCCATGAGGGCAGACAGGGGTTCTCGGCCCCATTTTAGAAATGTGGACGTGGAGGTCCTGGGCTGCTGGGGGCCTCGTGCTAGGAACCTTCGGTGCTGCAGACCTGACATCAAGCTGGGTGGACAGAACGACCGGCTCCCCTGGCCGTGCCCTCCGGGAGCGCCCGCTCAGGAGCACAGGATGCCTAGGTCCACGTGCCGGGCATCAGAGGCAGGCGGTAGCAAGCCTTGTAGGGCAGCTTCCAAGCGGCTCAGAAAGGGTGGAGCGGCTTTGTGGTTCTTCTGAGTCGGGGGTCTGGGGGGGTCACACGGTGTGAATTTCATCTCTGCCACTTCCTAGTTACTTGGCCTTAGGTAGATAAGAACGGTTTCCTCATCTTTAAAATGGGGGCAGTGACCGAGTGAGCCTCCTGCGAGCTGTGAACGAGTCAATGGGAGCACCCAGTGGGTGCCCAGAGCAGGCTGCTAACTGAGGTGGGTGGGGACCGCGTGCATTCCTGCCCCTCCTATCCCCAGGTACAAGTCACTGTGCCCAGAGACGTGGCCCACGTGGGCAGGACGGCCGCAGGATGGGGTGGCTGTGCTGGTCCGACACCTGGGCTACAAGCCAGAAGAGTACAAGATGGGCAGGTGAGCAGTGCCCATGCCAGGTGCCTGCGGGGAATAGGGGTGGCAACCCCAGGCTGATCACTGCTGCTTTCCCAGGACCAAGATCTTCATCCGCTTCCCCAAGACCCTGTTTGCCACAGAGGATGCCCTGGAGGTCCGGCGGCAGAGCCTAGGTGAGAGAGAAGCCCACCTTTCCTGCCGCACGGGGTCTGTTCCGGGAAGCAGGGAAGTCACTCCCTTGGGCTCCGTCTCCAGGGAGTCCACCCCTCCCTACCAGCTCCAGCCCCACACCCAGCTCCAGGGAGCCCTTCTCCCTAGTTGACTTGGAACCCCCTCCCTACCAGCTCCAGCCCCACACCCAGCTCCAGGGAGCCCTTCACCAGGGAGTCCACTAGTTGACTTGGAACCCCCTCCCTACCAGCTCCAGCCTCACGCCCGCCATCGCACCCACTGCCCCCCCTTCTCCGGGCAGTCCCCACATTCATTTTTCTTCACCACTGTCCTGCTCGCTGGCTCCTTCGGCCACTGTCCCATTCATGCCACTCATGGAGCGCAGACGGCACCAGGCTCGCAGCTGGCTCCCCGTGCTCTGGCCAATTGCCTTTCTTTCCCAACTGCAGCCACAAAGATCCAAGCTGCCTGGAGGGGCTTTCACTGGCGGCAGAAATTCCTCCGGGTGAAGCGATCAGGTTTGTGGGCCCATGGGTTTTCAGGAGGGGCGGGGTCTGGGGCCAGGGGCGGGGGGCCCACCATGGTAAGAAGATAGAGGTCAGCCATCTGTGGTCTCCACGACAGCCATCTGCATCCAGTCGTGGTGGCGTGGAACGCTGGGCCGGAGGAAGGCAACCAAGAGGAAGTGGGCAGCGCAGACCATCCGGCGGTGAGCACCAGGGTGCCTTGTGGGGGCTGCAGAGCAGGGCGTGTGGGGGGTTCACCACCAGCCTCCTCGTCCTCAACCCTGTCTGGCCCCTGACCCCAGGCTCATCCGAGGCTTCATCCTGCGCCACGCCCCCCGTTGCCCCGAGAACGCCTTCTTCCTGGATCATGTGCGCACCTCTTTTTTGCTAAACCTGCGGCGGCAGCTGCCCCGGAATGTCCTGGACACCTCCTGGCCCACACCCCCACCTGCCCTGCGTGAGGTCTGTGGGCACCCCCTGCCAAGTTAGGGACCATCAAAGTACACAGCAGAAGGGTCTGATTTCTTGGGGCCAAAGGATTGGTCAGGGAGGGGCTCACGGAGGGCCCGGACCAGAGCTGGGCAGTGAAAAGTAAGGTTTCTCTTTTTTTTTTTTGAGATGGAATCTCACACTGTCGCCCAGGGAGTGGCGCGATCTTGGCTCACTGCAACCTTTGCCTCCCGGGTTCAAGCGATTCTCCTGCCTCAGCCTCCCAAGTAGCTGGGATTACAGGCACCTGCCACTACGCCCAGCTAATTTTTTTATTTTTAGTAGAGACATGGTTTCACCGTGTTGGCCTGGCTGGTCTTGAACTCCTGACCTCGGGTGATCCACCCACCTCGGCCTCCCAAAGTGCTGGGATTATAGGCGTGAACCACCGCGCCCTGCTGAGTAAGGTCTCTTGACTCAGGAGTGGAAGCATCGTCCAGATGGAGGGGGCTTTGCTTATCCAAAGGCTGCGGTAATATATGTTCGATGTCTTCAGAGGGAAAGGCCCAGGGTGTCCAGGAGCTCTGACCTCACTCTTCCCTTCAGGCCTCAGAGCTTCTGCGGGAGCTGTGCATAAAGAACATGGTGTGGAAATACTGCCGGGGTATCAGCCCTGAGTGGAAGCAGCAGGTACGGAGAGTGGTGCTGGGTGAGGATGAGGAAGTGGAGTCAGGGAACCGCAGGCATTCCTCAGAGAGTGTGGGCCTAGAGGGGCATTTACCCTGGTCTACCGTATTTACCCCGCCTACTGTATTTACCCTGGTCTATTCTGTTTACCCCAGTCTACCGTATTTACCCCGGTCTACTCTACCCCATCTATCGTATTTACCCCGGTCTACCGTATTTACCCTGCCTTCCTTATTTATCTCGGCTTATCGTATTTACTCTGCCTACCGTATTATCTCGGCCTACCGTATTTACCGCGTCTGTCGTATTTACTCTGATCTACCGTATTTATCCTGCCTACCGTATTTACCCTCGTCTACCGTATTTACCTCAGCCTACCGTATTTACCCCGTATTTACCTGTCTATGGTATTTACCTCGTCTATCGTATTTACCCCGCCTATCGTATTTACCCCGCCTATCGTATTTACCCCCGTCTACCGTATTTACCCCGTCTATCGTATTTACCTCGTCTATCATATTTACCCCGTCTATCGTATTTACCTCGGTTTACCATATTTACTCCGCCTACCGTATTTACCCGTCTGCCGTATTTACCCGTCTGCCGTACTTACGCCTGTCTGCCATATTTACCCCTGTCTGCCGTATTTACCCCTGTCTGCCGTATTTACCCCTGTCTGCCGTATTTACGCTTGTCTGCCATATTTACCCCTGTCTGCTGTATTTACCCCTGTCTACTGTATTTACCCCTGTCTACTGTCGTTTCTTCGGTCTACTGTATTTACCCCGGTCTACTGGCAACCTCAGTTGGATGCCAGGCCCTGCTGGGCGTTGTGTAGGAAGTGGACGCTGGAGTACATTTGGGGTGGCCAATAGGGTTCACCTTGTGGGCCAACTGCCCTTGATTGGTAGAGACTGCTCAGAACCCTGTGTTGAGAAGTCTGCGTCTTCACTTGGATGGATTGGTGATGTTTGCCCTCATTACAGGCATTGGTTGATGTGCCGTGTTTTTGCCAACTCAGTACTGGATGATTCTAAAACACCCACCCAGCATAGATAACCTCTAGTAACCTTGAGTATTAGTGATCTGCTACTTAGAAGACCCCAAGCTGGAGCTGAGTCTCAGGGCCACCAGGGCCTGATGGGGTGGGGAAACATTACAAAGGCTAGTTTCAAAACCCGGCAGTGCCTTCATGACACCGCTGGGGAGTGTTTGGTGGCGGCAGAGGGTCAGGAAGTGGGGGGTTGATGGGAGTGTGGGGGGCAGGGCTCAACCTCCTGGTGCTGAGCAAGAGAGGGACCAGCAAGCAGGTGAGGGAGGCTGTCTCAGGTCCTAAGGCTGGCTCTGCCCCCCAAGATGGTACCCCCTACCGTGATACTCTCCTCACCCCCCTTGTCTCCTTAGCTGCAGCAGAAGGCCGTGGCTAGTGAGATCTTCAAGGGCAAGAAGGATAATTACCCTCAGAGTGTGCCCAGACTCTTCATTAGCACTCGGCTTGGTGAGCCCTTGACTTTCCAGCACTCAGACCTTTCGTCATTGTCCTGGTCCCCTGTTGCCTCCTCTGACCTCCGTCCCTGCCATCTGGGTTGCAGGTGCAGACGAGATCAGCTCCCGAGTGCTTCAGGCCCTGGGCTCTGAGCCCATTCAGGTAAGACCCTGCCCTGAACCCTGAGTCCATCTGAGCCCATTCAGGTAAGAGCCTGCCTGCAGCCCTGAGTCCGGCAGCGCGGTTCTGCCCAGGAGCTGGAGGCAGGTCAGGGTACAGGCGGAGCCTCGGGAGCTTCTCCCCAAGCCCCTTCAGCCTGGCCTCTGTCCCCAGTATGCTGTGCCTGTCGTGAAATATGACCGCAAGGGCTACAAGCCTCGCTCCCGGCAGCTGCTGCTTACGCCCAACGCCGTGGTCATCGTGGAGGACGCCAAAGTTAAGCAGAGGATTGATTACGCCAACCTGACCGGTCAGCCAGGGTCCAGGGCTGCAGGGGGAGGGCCCCTGCTTTGACACTTGACCTCTGACCTTTGCCCTCTCCCTTCAGGAATCTCTGTGAGCAGCCTGAGCGACAGTCTGTTTGTGCTTCATGTACAGCGTGAAGACAATAAGCAAAAGGTGCCCTTTCATGGATGGGGAGGTGGATTGGGGAGTAATGAGGAGGGGGTGGATGAGGAGGTG